GAATTGTGTTGCCGGTGCGGACAGGCTCTCCCCTGCCCTTCCTCCTCCTCTTCCTCCTGCGCTTGCTGTAATCTAATTGGGTTTGTCATGCTGGAAAGCCAAAGCCCTTCAGGACTGTGTTGTGCTCTCACCAGAGAGATTTCACAGCTGTCCTCGGCACCCTGGCAGCCGACAAGTGAGTAACTCAGCTGTGCGCTGCGGGCACCCCGTGCCTTTCCCGGGCACCTCCTGCCTTGCCACCCACCCTGGGCCCAGCAGCACTGGGCACGAGGCCATCACCATCCCCTCCTTGAAGTACCTCTGTCCCACGGCTTCTCCACCAGCCCTGGGTGCCATCTCCACCCCTCGATGGGTTTTCAGAAGGACCCCAATCCAGCCAAGCCATGTCACCGTTTCTGGGTGCTGACCCTGTCCCCAGGCCAGGGAACAATGTGTCCCCCCTCTGCAGGGCAATGGTGATGCTGCCCAGAGATGTCTGAGCCAACGCATGAAATGGAAGTGTTCACAGAAATGACATTTCCTCCAGCCTGGAAAGCTCATCCTCCGCTTAGAGAAAACTAATATAAAAGCTGCCCTAGTGTGCAAGGGGCTGATGGTATCAGGCCGGCAGCCTCCGGCACTGAGAGCCACAATAAATCTCGGCTAGGAGACAAGCTGGGGAGATCAGCCCCGCGCAGCTGCTCCACGTGTAGGAAACGTGTCTGCTCCGCACCCCACAGAGGAGCATGGGGACAGCTGGGGACAGCTCAGTGTGGGCTGGGAGTCGCCCTGCTGCCATTACGAAGGAGGCCACAGCGGCGCGGTGCCCCCAGACCAGCGCGGCCTCCTTGCAGCTGGGATTATGCCGTTATCTGCGCGCTCGGTGCCGCAGCAGCCCCACGGGCAGGATTGCTCCCTGCGTGGCTGCGATAGCAGCAAGTGAGCACAGTCCTGCGCCAGGCTGCTCCAGGCCAGGGGCTGCCTCACCAGATGCGTCGCCTGTGGATGGTGGGGCCAGAATGCGACAGGACGGGATGGGACAGGTGGGCACAGGGAGGGTTTCTGGCAGGGGCTGGCCCTGCGCACAGTGTGCAGTCCAAATGCAGGACCGTGCTGCCCTCTGCTGGCTCCAAACCTGTCCAGCCCACACGTGCACCCACGGCCGTGCGGGACGGGGCCTGAGCGCAGAGCATATGTGTGGGGGCCTGTCCCTGCTGTGGCAGAGAGGAGCCCCAGGGTTGCCCTCTCTGCCACCATGAGCATCTCAGACCAGCATGAGCACCCCCTGGCTGGCTGTGCACTGCGTGGCACTGGATTGCCCTGTCCCCAAGGCCTCCAGAGGGTTTAAGTGACACAGAAACACCTGGGAGGGGTATGGGAATCAGTAGTTTTGTCTCCAGCCGTCCATGCTCCAGCCCTCCTGCAACCTTTCTCAGCTGGTCTCACCACACAGCACCCCTGGTGCCTGCAGTGGCTCCTCTCCATCGCCCCCAGCTGCAAACAACAACCCAGCAGACGCTGTTCCCTGTTCAGGGCTGCGGAAGAGCTTGCCTGGGCACCCCGTAGCACACCTGAGCGCTCGTAACCCCCCCCTTGCCTGGCCTCGGCCTCGCCGGCCCG